ATAAACATGTACATTTATTTGGATTAAAGGAACTAAATAGAAGTAAATAAAAATAAGTAAATTTGATAATATCTTATAGAAAAGCTTCTTAAAAGCTTTATAGTCATTCTATTCTTAATATCATACCATCTTTGAGTAATTATCTATTTTTTTCTAATAACAATAGAATGTATTGATCTTTTGGTTCATTATGATTCATGTCTTTAACAATTTTTTATAATGCTAATAAAATTTTCAAAATTGTTAAAGATTTCTTTATTTTAAAAAAAATCCAAATCATATAAAAAAAAACTCTCTTTTTGCAAAGATTTTGCAAAGTTAATATTAATCCAAATCATTTTAAACCAATATTCTAACAACCCTCATCAAATCTTCTTTATAATCTTACTTTCTAATCAACTTAAAAAAATAAAATAAAAACTCCTATAATTGTCATAAGTGCATGGTTTTGTGCCTCAAGATTTGATATTGACTCAAGTTCATAATTAGTCCTTCTATGTATCAATATTTAATTTTTTTAGATAATTTTTGCTAAAAAATATTATTTACTTCTATCTAATAATATTTTAAATATAATTTTTAATAGTTTATTTTTTATCTTATTTATGTCTTTATAAAAATAAAATAAATTTTTATATATAAAAAAAAAAAAATATAACTAACACTAAATTTTTGTATTACCTTCCTATCTTTAACATATGTTTAGCTACTATATTTTAATATTAAACTCTTCTATGATGTAATGTAATTTTTTTCTTCTAATTAATAATTAAATTATTATCAAATATATGAATTATAAAAAATCAAATGATCAATACACTCTTTTGTCACTTGAAAAGAATAGATAATCACTCAAAGATGATAAAATATTAAATTAGAATGGCTATTGCTAAAGACAAAAAAACTAGAAGCTCTTGAAAAAAAACTAAGGACATAGAAGACATTGATAAGAGTGAGAAAGGCTTTATTCTTGCCTCCATATATACTATCTAATTAGGAGCTATATGACAACATTCTATAGAACCTCTAATACATGTTTAATTTGTAAAATACATGTCTAACTTGTAAGTCAAGTTTTTTATGTGTATGCTACATGACCAACTTATACCATAAGTTATCAACACATGCAATATGTGACCAACTTGTTGGCCAAGTTTATAACCTACTAATCAACTACGAACTTGTATAAAATCAAATCCGTGTTTATGAAGCATTAAAGAAGCTTCTCCATAAGACATGATTAATATATCTACATTCAATTTCTACCTAATATTTCTTATTTAGATAAGTATATATGTTTGTAATAGTTATAACACAATAATGATGTATAAAAATTAAGTCAATATTTTTATTTGTACTATGTTAAAGATATTTTATTACTTAGCTAAAAAATTGTAATAAATTTAATTTTTTGGTATAAGATAGAAGATTTCTATTGCAAAGCTTAAAATAGATTTCTTTATAGAATATTATTATGTAAAAATAAATATTTTTATTTACTAGATAAAAATAATTTTAAATATAGAATAAATTTATTTATAGTAATATTTATCTTTTTTAAGTTTAATAATATTTAATTAAAATTCAAAGATTTATAGAAGACTAAATATATATGATGTATAATATACAAGCATATGATTCATTATTTTATAAGCCAAAGATAAATAATTATGTAATTATAGTCAAAGACTATCAAGAGTTATGCCATGCAATATTATCTATCATACAAAAATAAAACTTAGATGATATATCTATCATAATTTTTGCAATGTTTATAAGATTAAATCAAATTCCAAGTCTAAATATAATATTTTTTAACCACAAAATAAGCAATTACTTATATAAGCTATTTATTTCATTTCCATAGTAAAAAAAATTTACATTCAATTTTTTTTAAAAAAATATTTTTATATAAAATATAAAAGATAGTTTTGTAATTTTCTAGACTACAATTTTATTGAAGATTTTAAATATAACATTAGAAACAAAAGTATCAAAAAATAGAAAGATGGGTCAACTCAGAATTTCAAAAAGACAAAAAAAAAAAATTAACAAAAAAATATCAAGTGAAAGGTCTTATATCAAAAAATTAGAATAATTGTATAGCATTCTAAGTCTACTATTGGATTTGTAAACCTCTAAATGTGAGAATAGATTAAATATAAAATTCAAAATTTTTATCCATTTGCAAAGTCAATTCAAAATTCAAAATAGTCATATCTTCAATATTTATAAATTTATGCAATTTTGAAACAATGCAATGACATATTTACAATGTGCAATGTAGAAATAGACCTAATGGTATTTTAAAAACTTTGGACAATATTTTTATAATAAAAATCAAAATACTAATGTCTTTTAATAAAAATTATATCTTAAAAATAAAAAAAATTGTAGAACAAATTATTTATATGATTAGAATTGTAAAAAAAAAAAAAAAAAAAAAAAAAAAAGAAGAAAAGAAAGAAGGATAATAGGTTAAGTTAAAATTTTAAAAATAAAGAAATAAAAAATTAGAGAAATTTATGTAATCCTAAATCTTCATCTCTAAATCTTGAAATATATTGAATCAACTCTAAATATTAAATTAAACTCAAAAATAAGAAGGTAGGTCAAGTTATAATTGAATAAAGATAAGGATGTCAAAAAACTAAAAACACCAATGTTAGTTCAACTTACAAATTACAAATTCTAAATCTCAATTTTTTTATTGATTTTAAACACTAAAATTTCAGATTATTTAAGTATATGTTTATAATAATCTTTTTTTAAGGTTTCTTTGGTATGATCTAAATCCAATCTTTTTAAGTTAATATCTCTTTCATACTATTGAATTTTATATATCTTACTTAGGCTTGATTTTACACTTTTCACTAACTTATGAATATGTTATTTATTAAATTTTAATCTATTTTAAAATAAATATATTGAAGATTTCATTGACCATTCTTTTTGATAATGATATCAAGGTTTGAACACCCTCCTATATTCAAGGTAGTCAAAGATGTAAAGTTGTCTAATTTCTTTAGCAATGATGTCAAGTTTGAACACTTATTTATTCTTAAGATACTAAATGATGTGATATTGTCCAATTTATTCGGCAATAATGTCAAGCTTAATCATTTTCTTATATTGAAATTATTCAAATCTTTATAAGAGGCTAATTGTATCTATATAATGACAAAAAAAAATTTAAATCAAATTCTAAAATTAAAAAAGAAACTTTGATTATTAACACAATCAATAAATCTACCATTCTTAAACAAGCTTTGACTAGTGCTTATGCCAAAGAATGGTAATTTTCCATTGAATTTAAAATTTAATAAAGATCAAAATATGTCTAAGTGGATTTTAAAGTTAAATGAAATGCTAATGAAATTATTAATAAATTTAAAGTTTGTTTAGTTATCAAAGACATTACATATGTTATTAGCCTTAACTATATAGAAATATTTTTTTTAGTCTTATAATTGGATTTAATTAGATTGTGACTTGCTTTAGCCACTCAATACAATCTTAAAATCAATCAATTAGACTTTAAAACTATTTTTTTTAATAATAATATAAGCAAAGAGATATATAGAAAAATTCTAAGATGCATGGTTGTTTATTCTTATAATTTAAATAAGGTACTTGTTTGTTGCTTAGACAAGTCGTTGCTAGATTTGAAACAATCTTCACCTCCTTAGTATATTTAATTATAAGATTCTCTTTTATTTTATAGATTTTTTCTAATCAAAGAAAATCCCAATATTCATATAAAATGTGACAATATAAGTTTTATTATTATAGCCATTTTTGTAGATGCTTGTGTAAATTTAAGTAATAAACTCACATCTATTATTTCCTTAGTATAAAGAATTTTAAATAAATAAAGAAGCTAATTTACATTATATTCCTAGATTACAAAGTTATTGAAATTAACTTAATAATACCCTTGCATTAAACCAAGAAACATATTTATAATTTGAACTTTAAAGATATTATACAAATAATTGTATTATAATCTCTACTCTTCTTAAAGCTAGTAAAAAATTTCAAAAGAAAATTGTCCAACAAATCAAGATGAAAAAGATCAATTGGTTAGCATTCCTTATTTTAAATCAGTTAGTTGTTTATTTCATTTTATAGTATGTACTTAAGTTGGTATAATATTTAGTTTTAATACTTTGTCACAATATTTATTCAATCTTAGAACTGTCTCTTGATAACAAATTAAGTAAGTTATGTAATATATTAAAGAAAAAATAACCAATAGTTTTAGTTATAAACAATCATCTATAAATCATCTTTTATATGATTACTTGGATGCTAATTAGATCAATGGTCAAGATACTTGGCACTCCATATTAGGCTACTTTTTTCTTATTATTGGAGCAATAATCACTCAAATTACTATAAAACAAACTTTATTTTCTATTTTCAATACCAAATTCTCACACACACACATATATATATATATATATATATAAATGGCTTTCTCTAAAGAATGTCCTAAAGTTGTATAAATTACAAAGATTATTAAACTATATAAAATTTCTTCAAAAAGATCTTATTACAATCAATGTTGACAACCATATTGTAATATCTTTAAGTCTTGATTTAAAATTCTATTTTCATACAAAACATATAAACATATGATTGAGAAAATTCCAACTCTAATATTTATCTAAACATTAAATGGTGGCTAAAATTCACCTAATAGGAGTTATAGTTAGTCATACATTTACTGTAACAAATAATTAGTTATGTGTTTGGTAAATTGTACAACAATGTGCCTCTTGACATAAGGGTGTGATCCTTGATTATGTACTTAAAGGTATTTTACCTTGTAGAAATATAATTCAATTTGACTCTTTCACAATCTTATAGAGGTAAGGTACTATATGTTTACCTACTTTAAAAGTTGTAGGCTTGAGAACTCATTCATAAGCTCAGAAGATCAGTCATATGACAGGTGAATGAACCCAATACAGTGCAATGAAGCCTTCAGATCAAGGTGAGTGTAAAAATTTCCATGAACTCTCAAACTAGACATCCCACAATAGGTTACAGAATTCATATACAAAGGAGGTAGTCTACAATTCTACAGTTATCATTTCATCATCGAAGATATCAGAGTTCATACACACAACTCAAATCTATATCACTGACGTCTAGCACTTAAGGAACTTACGTTATGTGGCTGCACCAATGTCATCAGCTGTTGAATATCCGGACCAGCAGGTGACTGATAGCCAACAATGAGTTCAGTACGCTTTAAGAGCACAAAAGATGCGCGCTGCAATTGCCTCCGATAGGTCACAACAAGCAGATCCATTCGTTTGTCGCCCCTAGTTCTGCCAGCGGTTCCACCAGTTGACTCGTTTAGCACCTTCACCTTTCTGAATTTCATCCACAGTTGCTGCAATGGTTCGAGCGGCTTTTCGCTGTATTCTCAATGCTTGCGCCATCGCATTGCGACGGACTGAACCCTTAACCTTTGGTTCCTTCTCCTGTATACAACAAGAACTGAAATCAAATTCGATGTCTACATCATTTGACTGCTTCGAATATTTCTAGTTGAAGACGTGGTTAAGATCTCACATATATACCAACTAATACTAACGATAAAACAGATTTTGAGGCAGATTCTCTGAACCAAGAACACAACATACCCGCATGCTTTGTAACTGAGCTTCTGTGAATCCCCCCACACTGTCTGTTCCAGATTTCGCCATGAGCGATGTCACCCAATCAACACCCTCATTGTCCGGTTGTGCACCTCGCAATACATTCATTCTTAGTCTTTGCATGATAGAAAGCCCAAGCAATCCTTCTCTTGAAAAGTAAGGATGTGCCAGCGCAGCGTTTGCACTGATGCGTTTACGGCCTTTAAACCGCAACATGTCTTGTACAAGCTCCCATCCAACACCACTATCCATATCCAGGATTTCAAAACCCTGCTTAATATCCTGGCTTTGCTTGGCCTCGACTAATTTCCGCCATTCAACCATATCGTAGTCTCTGCGTTTAAGCTGTCGGTTGAAAGAAATGAGCCCGCTGTCAGAGCGGAGGTTCGGAAATGCCATTTGTAAATAAATGAGACCCAGACTATAAATATCAAATCTATCTGGGAGATTCATCTGCCAAAGAACAGGAGAAAGTGCAGCTGCTATGATAGCAGGAGGGGCTGAAGGCGTTTGGGTGCTCATAATGTACTGCTCAGGCGCTGAATACCTGGGATCCAATAGAAACTCTTTTGGAATATAATTGATCCCTACTCTCAAGTCGGCTGCGGCTCCTAGATCAATAATTTTAAAAGATTTGGTTTCTGTAAAAGGAGCTTTTTTGTTAGACGACAAGTCCATGCAAAATGCTGTAATTGCGACTTCACTAGGAACGAAAAGAAAAAAATATAGTCGTTTCTATACAAATCGTTGTGAACGCCAACACATGCTGGCAAAATAATTCCGAGTATATTCACAAAAAGAAGAATTTCGAAAAAATGACAGGAAAGCCCATGCAAATGTACTCATAATTTGAATAAGCTTCTAATGAGATACTTTTAGAAATGAACGACGGTCCTATCTGTTTTCATCCACAATCGATAACCACAGCTCACTGCATGGAATAAGGAAAATCTGCATGCAGCTTGGAAAGCATGTAAAAGAAATATCAATGACAAAGGATGATCAGTATGATTGAATACAGTTACCTTCCGAATATATGATGTTTTGAGGTTTAATATCACGATGTACAATCCCAGTTGAATGCAACTGGGCCAGTGCGCTCAAAATCTGTCGCATTGTAATCCGTATGATTCTGTTCTGACGTTCAGGACCCCGGGGCAAATCACCTCCTTTGCCTGGTCCGAGAAGAAGTTCTTCTACGTTGTAAGGGAAATCCCTGCTACCCATCAGGTCAGCCAAAGTAGAACTTCCCTCATACCTCCACAATAACCAGAACTCATCTTTCCCATTACTTGAAGTCTCGTCGAGAAAACCATGAATAAAATCTGCACAACTTTTGCGACAAGCGCGTCTCACACGCTCATTCATCCAAGCCTCTACAGCTCCATATTCATTTGCTTTCTTCACTACCAAGGGGCCGTCCTTTTTCAGTAGCTGCTTGTTAACGAGGGATGCCTTGTATACAGTGCCAAAAGCACCTTCACCTAGCTTCTTCCCAAGATTTAAATCCTCCTTCTTGAACATGGGACGAAAGAGATTCTCCAGAGGGGCAAGCACAAACATGTCCCAGAAGCCCGGCGCGACTCCTGATCATGAGAAAAGAGTGAAAACCATGACTTTGAGCAAGATCCGCGTGAAACAAGCAAGCTCTCTTATTGCCGTGATATGTAGAAAGGAACGACGACAAAGAGAATGCTAAATTTTAAGTAAATTTGTACACCTCATCCATCTGAAAAATATCGTAGTTAGCGCCATATCTTGTGCACTTCGATGCAATGATTCTCCTGAAAGACATAACTATTTTCTGAGCTTTATGTCTATGTGCTGCATTAAATGCAGAATGGAACTGAATATGACTAAGATCCAACACTTTCGAAAAATCCCTCCGTGCTATATATATATATATATATATATTTATATATTTACGTATGTCACCTTAAATGCACCTAGCTTGCGTTAGAAATTCGTCGATGCTCTTGTGATTTTATAATAGTTCCTGAATAAAAAACAGCAGAGCGACCTCGGCACCCAGTGATACAACCTCATCGCCTGATCATTTTTCGATTCAGCTCTTATTTATATTCACAACAATCAAGACAAGAAAACTACTAAGACGGCACGACCGCTATACCTTCAGTTTCAGAGGGCTCAATTTTCAATCATATTATTGTGATAAGAAGTCTACAGAACTCTACCTTTCCGCTACGCTTACTTCGAAAATAAAGTATTCAAGCAAAACGATGATCTCCTCACAACCGATGAGAAATTTTAACTGCAGTAGATTAAGTTCTAAGAATACTATAACAGAATCCGATTGTATTATCAAATCACTAGCTTGCTCCCTCACTTACATAACTGCAAGTTCACGTGAATTTCAGTGTCAAGAATGTACCGAAGCTGAAGGGATTTTGTAGACCTCATTAGCACACAGAATCTAACCTCAGCTCCTAATCACCGTTTCCCTTATCTGAATTCCAATTTTTTACAAAAATTAAATTACTGCAAGCAAACCAATTAACACAATCACAACCAAACCGCCTCACAAATCCAATAATTTTTTTTCAAAAAAAGGAACAAATTCTCAAATTAAACCGACGATTCACCTGGCGTAGCCCATAGATACGTCACAATAAGCACGGTCAGCGCCACACCGGGCGTCGTAATCTGAAATCCCTGTCGCGGCAACGTACTCCGATACACGACGTCCCCGCATTCCATCACAGTGCAAGGCAATCCCACGCCGACTCCCAACACCAGCCCATGCAAATGCTCCACGAGCTCGAAGCTCGCGCGACATACAGCTTTCTTCCCTCGCCTCCCCCGCGTGCTCACTCCCAATCTCAATCCCAATCTCAATCCTGGTCCCAGTCCAAGCACCTCCCCTTTCCATTTCACTACCAATTTCTGCTCCGCGCAACTCCTCCGAGTCGGCAAGCTTCCGAGCCGCACCGCCGCAACGTCTAACAGGGAGAACGCCCTTCCACTCGTGCACGCCATGGCTGTATCCATTACTGCTCCGGCACCATCACCTTGAAGCCGGGGAGCTCGCTCTCTCACTTCACCGAGCTTGGAAAAGCAATTGATACGCAGCGCTGCTAAGCCTTGACGACCACACACTCTGCGACCTCGGTGATGCCCGTGTGAACGGGGCCCCTAGATACTATTGTGGCTGGGTCGGATATCCACGTGGATTCTAGGTTTAGCCAACCAGGTTAGTACTGGACTTGGATGGAGCGAGTGCGCCTTGGTCGCCTCCTTTTGGTCTCTACTCGACTTGGATTGGTCGTGGGTCTGACCAATGGACGTGCGACCGTGTTCCTCCCTCCATTGGGGCGGGGTGGGGAGGGGCATGTACTCTTCATGCTTTGGTGTCATGCCTTTTTGTCCATTATGTTGAGTATTGAGTGAGGTGGAGCGTGTTATAACCGTTTGTATATTGGAAAATAAATTAAACTTGAAGTTGAATGGTTATGATTCATCTAATTGATTATTATTGTTTTTTTGGTAAAATAAGGGGAATGTTAAATAGACCCACGCTTATACTAAATTGACCCACCCATCCTAAGTATCATGAGAAAAAAAAAAAAAAAAAAAAAAAAAAATGACCCCTAGATTCATTTCTCCACTATTGGATCCAAATCCAATGAAAACCAACCACATTTATGATGGCTATCATATTTTCATCATGGGTAGGTTGGTTTATTAAAAACCTGGGTCTATTTAACATTCTCTTAAAATAATTATATAAGATTCAAATTTGGTTTTTGTGATAAATAAGAATATAAATAGGATTTGAATGTACAATGACCTTCTCTTTTCTTTTTTCAGCTATTCTATAAGACTTAACAAATGGTAATCTATAGAAATTAATTACCAAAAATGTATTAAAATTACAGAATAAGCTTTACTACTAATCTGATGGTTATTTTATCATTATAAAGTACATGATAGCTCAAGTACATAGGATAATGTGTTCATGAATTTCTGTTTCTGATCAAATAAAAATTATGCTGACTTGGTATTATATTCTCAGCTTTATGAATATCCATTATTAAATCTATCCAACTTAATAAGATCACATTGTATCATTCGAAATTTAAAGAATTTAATAACCCATATATCCATCATGACTTTAAGAAATTCAATAATAAATTCAAATAAAATTTTATAAGAATATAATTTATTATTATTACTATACAAAAATTTCTAGGATTTTTTTTCTCATTAAACCCTATATTCAAAACCATGTATAATACATTTTAACCACAAAAATATTGTTGCAATTTGACAAAAAAATGTTATTCAAATTTTTGAAATTTGAATTGCTATTATTTCCGTTGAGAAGAATACATTTGCTTGAACAGACAAATCCTAAACCTGGTCGCACACAATTCATTAAGCTGTAATACATGATCAAATACTCTCGACTAAGAAAAATAAGTTCATTTACTTAATTACCAAAATAGGCCCAAGAGTTTTTATAGACAAAAATCATTCTACTAAATTTAATATCAATAGTTACAAACAATACATATGTATGTATGTATATATATATATATATATATATATATTGGTTTTGGCAAATGTGACATATTTTACAGTGGTTTTACATGGAATTATATAAAGAGTACAATTCATTTTTTAAACCTCAAACTGAAGTAAAATAAGGATTCAAATGAAATATACTAAAAGACATTGAAGAAAAACATTACAATAATAACAAAAGTTATAAGCAAAACATATAGATTATTATTCAACTATCAAAATATGAATGTATAAATTAGTTGATCTTCAAAAATTAATTTTTAAAAGAATAAAAAAAGAACTGGAATATTTAAACATTAGATTAGATTTTTAAAATCTTAGTAAGGTTTAAACTATTATTATAAGAAAAAAACTAACAATATAAGTTTTTTATAAGTGAGTATAATCATAAATATGTCAAAAGCAAGATAGTTCTAAATTTGAATGATTACATCTACTTATATAAATACTACAAAAATGATTATTGAATTGATAGCATATATAAATTAAAGAAAAAAATTTCAAAAAATAAACAATTAAAGTTTAAACTTAATAATAATATTATTATTATCATTTTTATTGCTTGCTAAAATTTTAAAATCTTCAGAATCAATGACAGGATGTATCTTAAATTAACTTAATATACTTTATCATACAAGGCAATGAAATAAAATATTTGTTTATATGCCTCAATAATCCATATAAATTAAAATATATATTATAGATCAATCTTTAGTAAGAATATCATTAATTTAAAAATAATTATATTTAAAATTATTAAAAATATTAAAAATATGTTATTTATTTATTTATTAATAGAATTATAATTAATATTTTTTTAAAAAATTGTATCAATGATACATGCCACTAAAATCCACAAGTTTGATAAATGTATTATGAATAAAAATTCTTTTATAATGACTATATTACAATAAAAAAAATCAAAAATTCAAATAATAATAAAAACACCATCACTTTAAAATATCTAAATCTAAAAATATATCTTATTATATTAAATAGAATATTTGGTATATGCATATATTTTTAAATTTTTAAATTTTAATCTATTAAAAAAATATTCATTATTAGTTTAAAAGAAGCAAGGCATCTACATACAGTCTTCATATGATAGTTCATACATTACAATTTAAATCAATTTAAAAACCTATAAATAATTGAATGAATATAAAGATTTTTTTTTAATTAGAAATGGTTGGTAGATATTTTTTACAAACATCACTATTTGCATTAGTTCTTAAGACAATAAAAGAAGGTAGAAATAATGGCAAGTAAATTTGATAATAGCTTATGGATAAGCTTCTCAGAAGCTTTGTAGACATGGATTTGACTTTATAAGTATTTGTAGGTGATTAACAAGTTGAAAACCTGGCCAACAAGTTGGCCATGTATTGTATATGTTGACCACTTATTTTATAATTTGTTTACATGTTGCATATGTTGGACATTTGTTGTACAAGTTGACCATGTAGTATACATGTTGGAAACTTACTTTGTAAGTTAGACATGTGGCTAACAAGTTGGACACATGTTGGATGACCTATAGAACGACTCAATGTAGCTCTTTAAGTAGTTAATATATATAGAGGCAAGAGTGAGGTCTTTTTCAACTTATCAACTCCTTTTTGTGTTCTTGTACTTAGCTCAAGAATCTCTAGTTTCTTTGTATTTGACAATACCTATTCTAATATCAATATTTAATTTGTCTACTTTATCTTTTTAGATGTCACAAGAGTATGTTGCTTCTTTAGAGTTTTGTTATGATTCATGTCTTTGATAATATGTCACGGACCAAAAATACAAACAAGAAATCTAAACAAGAAGTTCAAGAAGAAATGACAAGAACTAGATTATCAGATGACTACAAGAGTAACGCCAAGAGAATTGAGCTAGAGCTTCAAGAGGTGTGTTGTCGAGACTGAAGAACTCTTCAGCCTCGACTCCTATATATACTACTGGCCTATGGTTCTAAGGAAGTGCATCAAGAAGCTTCCCAAGAACTATGAAGCTTCTGGAGCAACTACCCAAGAGCTAGGAAGCTTCTCAAGTAACTTCCTAGAATCTACTAGAATATTCTAAGAATCTTCTAGAGCCTTCTAAGGGAATCTTCAAAGAATCTTTAGAGAATCTTTGAAGAATATTCTAAGAGAATATTCAAGGAATCTTCTGGAAGTTTCTAGAGACTTCTTTCTAGAAGGTTCTAGAAACTTGTCTCTAGAAAAGTCTAAGGACTATGTCCCTAACATCACCTCTTCCTTTAGCTTCGAGGTCTCCGATAAGCAATGTTATCGTCAGTCAATACCAATGCAAGAAAATAAAAATCTGTCGCATAACCTCTGCTATGAACTCCAATTGTTGTTCACGAGGCAAGTGATTCAATGGTCCTTGAAGCCAACGGTAGTGGCCCACGCCTTCAACTTCTGACCAAGCATGAACCTCCGTGTCTTCATTGTGAAATTGTCGTGCAAACACTCCTTCTGGCTGACCATTGTAGGCAGGCTCGACCTCAAATACAATCACCAGCGATCTATTGCTCGGAATCCTTCGACGTCGTCGTGGTGCAAGCGGTTCTTCATCTCGCGGTCGTCTTCGTGAGCTAGTTGCTTGAGATGACATGACAAGTGTAGTATCTTGGCTATCCATATTCAAAGGCTAAAACAATAAGAACAAACTTGGGCTACTAACAAAGTTCTACGCTATCTTGGAGAGAATGACTACATCAACTATGGATTTTGGTGGTGCTCTCTCCTCTTTTCTGTTTTCTGGATGAGCAAGCTTCAGTAAGAAGCTATCGTCGAACCGGCTTGGGTTTCTCAGGATATCGTCGATGAAACTCCTGTACCTTTTGTGGCGCATTCGCGAGATTTTCGGTCGGCTCTCATGTTCGTTCATTAATATCGTAACCGCTCCAATGCACAAAGTATTCTAATTTACCCCGTCTTTGCCGTGAATCCAGGACCTTTTCCACCTCGTATTCTTCGTGGTTCTCTATTTCTATGCTAGGTGGTGGACATTGTACTCTTCCAGGAAAAGACGATTCTCGATAAGGCTCCAACAAAGAAACATGAAAGACAGGATGTACCTTCATAGTAGTTGGTAACTCCAGACGATACGCTACAGGATTGATCTGCTTCTGGATAACAAATGGTCCCAATCTCCGATAGTCCAATTTGTCACATGGCCGCTTGGTCTTAATATTTCGTCGAAGCAACCAAACTTTGTCTCCAATCGTGAATTTAGGTGCCTGATTCCGAAATTTGTCCGCAGACGCCTTATAAGATTCTTGGGCAGTTTGCAATTGAAGCTTCAATGTAGTTTGAAGCTGCGAAAGCTCCTTCACCAATCCTTCAGCTGCCGGATTGTTAATCGTTGACGAACTCCATAAGTCAAGCTTCGAATGGTATCCATAATTGGAAAAGAATGGTGTTTGTTGAGTTGACGCATGAAGGGTGTTGTTATATGCGAACTCGACTAGCGGTAGATATGCGACCCAATCATCTTGTTGATAGTTGATGGTGCAACGTAAATATTGCTCTAAAACTTGATTCACCCGTTCTGTTTGGCCGTCCGTTTGAGGATGAAATGCCGAAGAAAGCTTGAT